GAGACAAAAACATTAAAACCCATTATAAACGAGGCATTTGTTGCATCCAGTGGGGACATAATTGATTATAATGATTTATACTGTCTTTTTACGCATTGCGTTGCATCGCGCCGCGTAAACATAAAACCATGTCTGCATTTGTGATCGGAGAAATTACTAACAACAAGCACTACTCCACACTGCCCAAAACTCACGTTTGAATCGTCAGTGTAAAATTCTTTATATATAAAAATGTACTTACAGTCTGTGAGTCAGAACAGCCGGCATTGTAGTCTACTCTACCAGGATCAGGAAACAGTCCTCCATAAAATGTGCTGCACACATCTGAATATTTGGGTTGAACTGTTCTGGAACAGTGTTGTAAATACAACTTAACCACTGATTTCAGGTCGTGTCCTCTTTTAGAAGACCAAACAAAGTAGTTTCGCTTTCACAACGAAACACAGCGTCACACACGGAGGGCTTGTATGCACCAAGAGCTTGTAACACTCCAAAGTGAAAGGAAAAATTGAAATCGTATCATATGACCCCTTTAATGAATAGTTTATAATATGAGTTATCAGTTAATTCAGTCTGACGAAGTGTGATCAGAGTGATGACTGAATCAACATTGGACTCACTTGCTGAACTGCAACTTATTATTTGCATATGTCTGAATCGAAATGAAGCAAGTTTTGTGTCAGTATTATTTTGTAATTCATTGTCCACATGACAACATGTTGTTAAAGATACACATGTGCAATAGTTATTTTTATTTATGTATTTATTTATTTATTTATTTTGGTAATAAATGAAGGTATATTACTATATAAAAAATAAGAGTGTACACAAATGCACACTAGTTTTGTTTTATTGTGCTTCATGTACAGTTTTGGTCAAGAAAATAAGGCAGACTAAAATCAAAAACAGAGTTGAACTGAGTTGAGTTATGTATTAGGCCCATGTGAGGGGTCATTGTGTTCACAGGGGCGGAGCTACAGAGGGGTCATTCATATCAACTCCACAAAAGTGTAAACTGAGCCATGGCCACCTGAAACTCTCTCTCTCACACACACACACACACACACACACAGTCCACCCTGAGGGTCCACAAGGGTCCGAAACAAAGCTGGTGTCACGCAAAAGTACAACAGCTCCCACAACGACCTCATAAATCCATAACCTCCCACTCAACCTCTCTTGCTCTCTCTCTCTGTCTCCTCCTCCTCTTCACATTCCAGTCATTCCTGATCTGTGAGTCCTTCAGCGTCTGCTCAATAAACAACTAACACACACACACATTACAAGGCTTGCACACATTACACGAAAGACCTATAGGAAAGAATATCAAAAATCACATGTATTTAATATCTCAATTGTTTCTCAGAGAGTATACAGAGAGCAAATGGAGACTTTTGGTGAAGTCTCCTGCTTCTTAGATGTTTCTCCTGAGACAATGACTCTGATTGCCTCATACTGCACTGTCAGGTTCTCAAACATTTGGGTGAGAGACAGACCGATAGAGAGAGAGAGAGCACATCTGTGCAGCAGACGGTCTCCTACAGGCTGGGATGCATGTCAACAAAGGGCACATTTATTAAGTTTGGTGAATGTATGAGATTTCACTGCAGACTGTGTGTTTGTGTGCATGTGCACACATATCTGTGCTGCTGTGGATCTCCATGAGAGTAACAAACATGATGAGGGAAGAAAATCACAGAAAGACTGATATTCTGCACACAAATATCCTAAGAATGGATGTACATAAAAGGCAAAATAAAATAAAAGGGCATTTGAATATGTAAAACATTAACATAAATAATAATAAATAAATAATAAATACAAATTAATATATATATAAATAATTTTAGACAACTTTTGGTTAAAACTAAAAGTTAAAAAAGTTAATATTTTTATAGTACCAAAATAGTACAAGTACAAAGAACGGATAACAAATTTAAACCACAGATCATATTCTACACTCCAAAGTAAAGTAAAGTAAAATAAAGTAAAATAATGTTAGACAATTTTTCAAATTGTTTTAAAAAATACAAAAAATGGCACAAAGGAGACCTGGATGACTCTTTTAACCTGGTTAGTGAATCAAACATACAGTGTGACCACAGTAGTTTGATTCACAAACTAAAGACTGTTATGAGTCGGTTCTTTTTAATGAATCAAAAGTATAGGCTACAACTTGATGAGTGCAGTTTGATTCTAGTAAATGATTCTTATGAGCTGGTCCTTTAATGTGAATCAAAGACATTCAGCATGACCAATGCAGTCTGATTCATGAACAAATGACTCTTTTAACCCAATTATTTTTAGTGAATCAAACATACAGTGTGACCTCTGTAGTTTGATTTTCTAACTAATGACTCTCACGAGTCGGTTCATTTTAGTGAATTAAAAACATAGGCTACAACTTGACGAGTGCAGTCCGATTCTCTTAAATGATTCTTATGATTCTTTTTAGTGAATCAAAAGCAATCAGCACGACCAGTGTAGTCTGATTCATAAACAAATGACTCTTTTAACCAGGATCTTTTTAGTAAATCGAACATACAGTGTGGCTTCTGTAGTTTGATTCGCTCTCTCATGAGTCGGTCCTTTTTAGTGAATCAAAAACCCAGGCTACAACTCGACAAGTGCAGTCCGATTCAAGAACAAATGACTTATGAGCTAGTTCTTTTTAGCGAATTCTCAAATTAAACATTTCAAATTAGACTAAAATTTTAAACTTTCAAATTTTCAATAACATCACATATTTAATGTGCATCTGTTCACAAAAAGCTATCAAATTAAAGCTATCAAAATGGACTAATGTTGTGATCTCATGGAAAAGAGTTGCTCATATAACAAACAGGAACATAATATGGGTTTGGAACGACATGAGGGTGAGTAAATGATGAAAGACAGACAGACAGACATGCAAGACCTTTAAGGCTAAGTAGTAACACTCTGATATTCTTCCTTGAAGTGTCCGACTCAAATCACACAGAGTGAAAGCCGAGTTGGCCGGTGTGTGTGTCCTGCACTGATGACCTCTGAGGGGCCGCGACCCCACCGCGACTTCAGCAGAACAAAGAGAGAGAATGAGCAAAACACACTGACTCATTAGAGAGCTCAGACATAAACGAACCTCTGTGAAAAATCAAGCCTATGTGAGGGACGGGTGGCTTTTTCCATCTGTTTGACATGAGGCAGCTAATGAACGTCTGCATCAGTGCATCTCAATACAATGTGTGTTTCTGCAGTATTTCGTCTGTTTACTGCTCACAGCATGTGAATTTTCTGTGTCCATCTTTTAAAACGTAGTAAATGTACCGTTTAGGAACGAATATGTACACTTAATGTACTAATATGCATCTTTTATGGGTAT